ACACCACGCATTTGGATATTGGATAGTGGGAAATCCAGTTGGTGCTAATCAGGAATCTTCCTCTCTACAGGCTAGCTTTCATAATACTGGAAAGTACTATGTATGTTATGGGACAGGGGGTTATCACAGTCTACCCTACTGTGAACCCCACGAACTATGTTAATCAACAACATGGATGTCCATGGGTATAATAGAGGCACATTCATAGGAGGAAATTCATGCCTGATACTGGAAATCTGCTCAAGAAATGAGAGTTGAGGAGTTTACACGTCCACAGTGGTGACCCTAAAAGTACTCTTCTGTTAAGCAGAGACAGTACCAAACTGTCCTCTAAATGTTTGTCATTATACCAACAGATTGGTGCAGCTCTCAGACTTCATCAGAGAGGTGTCTTTCTGCAGTGGGTGGTGATTAATGCTAAAACTCCTAAGAGATCAATCTACAGATTGTCAGAGAACTGTTGAGCCACAAACTGGGACATCTATGTCACCCCACCCACAAAGCTCTAGGGGCCATTATGGAAGAGGGCAGAGATAGATAGTATGAGTCAGAGGTTAGGGAGGAACAGAGCAAAACAGTGTCTTCTGGCCACGGCAAAAGCCCTGATTCTTGAGCTCACAGCACCCATGTTTGCACAGGACCTGCAGGAGATGAGCTCTAGCATGGTGGGTGGAGTCTCACCAAGTCCCACCCCTAACTGAGGAACTATGGACAATTGATGGTTTCTGAGGGATGGACAGTCAATTTTCTTTAAAGGTGTGGTCCTGGTAGGTCAACTGCACCCTAGTGGATGACGCCAGCCCCATGAATGTACAGGCAACACAAATTGGACTTAGTGGGGGACATTTTTAAAAAAAGGTAGAAATGATTATTTTTTGACCAGCAAGAAAAATTTAACACAGTTCTAAATGTTGAACTTTACCAGATATAACACCTGTGCTGTATCTGAAAGGATTTTGGGGGTGATATGATCGAATTTATTATATAAAATTCTCAAATAATTAATGAAACAGTTAACAGACATAGGCTCCTCATGCAAATGAAAATGCCCTCTGTTCTCCTGTACCTGGTTAAATAAGAGTTAAAGTGTGTTTTAACAGTCTTGATACAAAAAAGCAGTGCAGAAAGCTCTTTAATGCCACAACTATGTGTCATCCCTGTCTAGGAGCATAAATTTGCACAGCGGGCAGTGCAGTGAAAACAGCTCATAATCAACTCATCACCTCTCATCATTGCTGGGATCAAATGCAAATGGGGAAGAATGCCACTTCAGTCACTGCTAGTGAAAATTAGCATCTGTGACACTAATGGTGTCTCATTTTGTATGCACTTTAGATTAAAAAGAGCCTTTTTTAAAAAGCTATTTCAAGAAGTGCCATTATTCCAATGTTTCCCTTTACAATGACAGTGGTATTGAATCTTAACTCCGAGAAGATCCCGGCTAAAATGCATTTACACAGATTACCACACAGGACAAATTAAGGACGCTTTGTCCTAATTACAGTTCCAAATTTCATCTATGTGGTTCATTCTCTTTTGCTTTCCAAACTTTCTAGGATGTTCCGTCCCCTGGAACAGAGGTGGACCATGAGAGAACACCAAGCTTCCTAAGGGTCATGCACAACCTTGAGTAGATTGAAGTTATTCTCAAACACTCAAAAATCAACAAAAGATGGATTGAAATACACACACTCACGTACGACTTGCTGCCAAGCATCACAGTGAATAGACTCATGAAACTTTTCATTTTTCAAATACCAGTTGAGAGCCTACTATGTTGGAAAGCTAAGCAAATGACAATATTTTGAAACCATTTGGCAATTAAGAAAAAAAATGTACACAATTCTAAGTGTTAAAATTTGGGAAGATATAGTGTCTGGAGAGATTCCATAGGTAAAATTCCTGAATTTAGTTGGAGGAGAGAAACCCTAAATTTCTCTTCAAAGTACAAATGTCCCTAAAGATGGAGTCTCCCTGATCTCTTTAAAATTCGTTTGGCATTTAAGACAGACTGAGAGAATGGCAGTACAACATCCGATATTGGAATAGTGGAAAATGGTATGAGATATTTTTTATATGACACATTATTTATCTATGTATCTTTGGTTAAGGTATTTGTGTTAAATATATGTAATTTTTATGTGCCTTTGCCCCTTCATTTATGAGGCTATCAAAGAGTTGTTCTCTAACAGAGTTGTAGTGAGTATTAAACAGAGTAGAAAACCCACAGAAAACAACTGTTATATAATAAAATCATAATAAACACAGGCAGCAAAAATAAACATGTTAAACAAACACAAGAAAAAACTATGTCCTATAATTATTTGAGCATTTATAGATCATATAAACAGTATAGATAAAAGGTTATTGAGTCCGCGTATGGATATGCTTACAAATCTCTAAATCACTGTCAGCATTGAGCACCAGTGCTAAAATAACAAAAATAAAACTCAAGGAGGAAAGCATGGTGTATAAAACAAGGTTATTTTTAACTAATATAGATGTAGAATGCTTAGCCACTGTTCATCAAGTTTCATTTTTGTTCAGAAATTACCTATATGCCAGATGGAGTTCTGGGACACACTAAATTTGTAAGAATTTATTAACCTTTTAGTATATATATAGTTAAGTATTTTATAATGTGTCTTCAGATATTTTTGTGTACCTAATATGGAAGAACATTGGTTTCTCACCCTCAACCTATACATTTATTGTTTAATAATATACCTGAATGATATTCATCTTGCATATAAGCTACTTAAATAATATAAACTTTAGCAAAATAGGAAAACAATATATAAAACAGAGGTACATCATAAATGATAAAATAAGATGTGGGAAAAATATATTTTTTGTTTTCAAGTTTTACTCATTGGTATGTTTATCGATAGGTATTATAAACAAAAGAAAATACGTTTTTTGTATATAGCATTCTCTAAAATCTATTATTGCATATTAGATTCATGAATATTCCAATGCCACAACTATAAAACCTATTAGAAAATACTAATAGCAAAGTCTATTTCTTTAACTTTATTTTTAGCTGATATATAAGAAAATAAAAATTGTATGTAATCTGGATACCATATAATGTTTTGATACATGCATAATTTTTGTAAACGTTTAAGTCAAACACATCTCTTCTCAGATATTTATCAATTCATTTCGTGTGTGTGTGTGTGTGTGTGTGTGTGTGTGTGTGTGCCTGTGCACTGCACATGTGAGTGGGTATGCAGGTGCCTTACATGTATGTGCATGTGTGTGTGAAGGCCCTTGGACAGCCTCAGGTGATATTCCTCCTAGGTCATTGTCTGCCTTGGAATTTGAAACAGTGGCTGGGTCTCACTGGTTAGAAAATCCATGGTCTTGCTGATTAGGTTCGGCTGGCTGTTCAGCCTGCTCCAGGACCTGTATCTGCATCTGTCTCCCCAGTGCTGGGATTACAAGCACATAGCACCACACTGTACTTTTTTACAGTGGTTCTGATGATAAAATGCTTGTAGAGAAAGCACTTTATAGACTGAGCTGTACCCAGACTCCCAACTCAGTATTTCATTAGAAGATGCTACATTTTAATTACATAGAGTCATCTTATTAGGTAATAGCATCCCAGAACTTCTTATTTCCACCTAATTCAGTACCCACTGATATTCTATTTAAATAAAAACTTCATTAGTTTTTATTTAAGATAACATTAGGTATCATAGGTTTCTCCTCTGTGTGTGGTACTAGAGCATTAAACCTATGGACATAGTTGGTGCTGTACTACCCAGTTACATCTACAACCCTAAATTTATAGATTTAAAACACACCAGATGATTAGATAATATTTCCCTCATTTTTGATGTCACAATAAAAAACATACTCTAGAGAGCACAGCACAAGAATGAATGCCTGTGGGTCAGGATGTGGAAAATATTATCTGATAGATAATCAGTATAAACAGTAGCATCCTGTATTTCAGGCCAGTTTCTTGGTCGCTCTTTTGTGTCTTTCTTAGACCGGTGTCACATTCCCTTCTTGTGTGTGGAGGAATTTCAACTCCTTTTACTAGAAATGTATAAACACAGCAGAACATTTCTGACATCAGAATTTCATACTAAAGAAATTAAAGTTACTGGTAATACTACTATAGTGCTATAATAAGATGTAAACAGCTTTTTCTATATTTTTGGTGGCAATTATTATCAAGAGAAAGAATAAAAGAATATTCTACATAAGACTGGCTTACCAATTTAATAACTTATAAATTTTGTGGCTTCTCAAAATAGAACACAATACTTTCTCTAGTGGCAATGTATAAATGCATGTCTACAACAAGATATCATGGTATGACACTCAAAATACAAAAAGAAAAAAAAATTATCCCCCAAAGTCTCCATTTTACAGTCTTCTTACAATTACATATTTTAAGTGGCTAAAATTTAACAGATAAAATAATTTATTCAGTATTCTAGGAAGATATTGACACCTCAGTAGTGAAAATTGTGCAAAGAGAGTCCTTGTTATTAATGGCTGAAGCAGAGACCACCGAATCATTTCCATGAAATTATCTGAACCCAAATTTAGTTACCAACATAAGGAATTGAGTCTAATACACAATTGTGAAGACCATAATCACCCACTGGTATCTAATTTTGCCAAGTGATTTTCCCCATACATACTGTGATGTACTAAGCTCTCTACTGGAATTAATTTACAAATGACAGATAAAATATTATGTATATGTGTGGGAGGATGATAGTGTAGGTTTTGTGTGTGTGTGTGTGTGTGTGTGTGTGTGTGTGTGTGTGTGTGCACATTCATGATGTGTGTGTATGGGTATGGTGTATGTTAGTGTGTGTATGTTTGAATGTGTGTGTGTGTATGTGAGTATATATGGTATGTGTATGTGTGTGGAGTGTGTATAAGGTGTGTATGTGTGTTATGGGTTTGTATGTATGTGTTTACCTTCTAGTAAGAAGTCTTGGCTTATTTAACTTTGTTAGAAACCACCTTACCTTTGGTTTTTGCTGTTTCTCCTTCTCTGAGGCATTGGATGGCTTCCTCTTCAGCATTTTGAATTCAGGCCACTTCTAGCGAGGACAGTTTCTGCTGTTACAGAGACAACTGAAAACTGACAGCAGTTTCTGTCTGTGATGTGCAGCACCAGATAGCTCTGAGCCCTGTGATCTGGCACTTCCTCCTTTGGTCAGGATATGACTTCAGTGTCTACTTGGGTAAAGGTTTCTTTTTTTTTTTTTCCTCTCTCCTACTTTACCGTAATTATTTGGCAACTCTGTACTATCTTCTTAGTGCTGTATTCTATGACATGATTCCTCTCTCAGACCTTTGGCATGCCTACATTAATCCTGCATGCCTAAAAATCATTAAGGGTATAATAATTTGAAAAACAAAACTTATTTTCTCAGTTTATGTAAAAATAAAATAATTTAACATATTAAATAGGAAGGTACAAGAGGAAAAGATCTGAACCAATAAATGAAATAAAACAGAATATTGTGGATTTTTATTATCAAAAACAAGAGACTTTTTAGAGAATTCAATTTTTATGTCTGTAATTTTTCATTCTTTGAGGTTTTTATTACATCATTTTTCCCCTTCCCCTTCCTCCTTCCAGTCTTTCCCAGGCACCTCCCCTTGCTCCCTTTCAAGTTCATTGACCATTTTTCTTTAATGCTACATATGTGTGTGTATATAAATACATAATTTTACATTTCTAAATAAAGATCAATTTGAAGTTAAATAATATTAATCCTTTATAATGCTGTCCCTATACTACAAAGTATAGATTGAATTTACCCAGCTATAAATAGGATTATAACTCCAGATATGAAGGATTAATCATAGGTTACCTTTTAAAAAGCAAACGTACCATTGTTATAAACCCTGATTAATAAATAAACCACTTCCTGCTACATAGCATAATTCCATATTTTGATAATTGCTGGTTGGTAGATGACCTCACCAACTGATCAGTGCTGCCTTCAAATAAGGCATCCAGTGTCGACTAAGAAAGCCTAGAATAAGCACCAATATGTCTTACAGGTTTTATTAAAAGCCAGATCCACATATCCAGAAGTAAATGCAGAAACTCGTGCTTTCTTACAAAAGGAGGCTTTATCAGAAGCGCATGTGTGGTGTGTTTCAAATGGTGCCTCTACTTTAGCCTGATGCTTCATGGAAAGTTTCTGCTTATCAACTCTTTGGGTTAAACCCAGTAGTGCCAAATTCTCAGTAAGAGCTTCTAGGTGTCAAAGCTCTGGACCCTCTTTCTTGGTTGGTTTCCCCTCCTACCTCTGTGCCTTCCTCCTTGAGGCCCAGTTAAAATTCACTAATTCACTTAAGAAATGCTAAATTGAGTACCTACTATGAGCTAATAAACAATATATCAAACTTCTTAACTAAGAAGAATAAAACAATATTGTATGCACCACCATAGAATTGAGTAAATAAAATACACTTATAAGGATTATGGTTAATAGACTTCTCCAGTTATTGAGGTATTTTGAGAACTAAGGGTTAGTATTTTCAGAACACTGACAGGGGAATAACACGAGAAACCCTCAAAACTCCAAGGCTTGGTAATTCCCTAGAAGTGTGCCCTTCTGTAAACTTTCTGGGTGTGCCTTAGTTAACCTAAGGTGGTAAGTTATTCCATCAGCTAAGAAATTGAAAGTCATAAAAAATTATTTTCTTAGAGAAACCCTGTCTCGAAAAACCAAAACAACAACAAAAAATTATTTCCTTAGCTGAACGTTTGTGCTCTTTGTACTCCTCCATTTCTTCGTCTAATGGATAGAAGTTTAATTCAGCAGTGGAATTTGATCAGTTAGATGAGAAGGATAAGTAGTGGTATGTAATTCCTGAAAGTTTCATTGAGAATAAAAGGCAGGGCCAAAATAGGCAACACTTACGCAACATCACTTCAGAACAGTTTTACTTAAAAAATTACGGGGGGACATTAAGTGAATGTTAAATATCACACAGTTATATCTAGAATATTTGCTATAGTTTATGTTTTTAGAATGACAACTAAAATATAGTGAATACTTACATCCCTGGTGTGTGTATGTGTGTGTGTGTGTATGTGTATGTTCAGTTTAAATGGGGTTATACAACACATGGTAGTAATGCTCCCCCAGAGCCATAGACTCCCCAATAAAAACCACCTTGCCAGTCATGGGAAAGCTTCCTTTTGTGTTCTTGATTGGTGGTGGGGACATAGTTCAAAAGACTCACACAATGATATATAATATTGTCATTAGCCTTGATTACCTCCCAGAATTTGAGGGTAAGACCATACTGATGAAGACGCCAAACACTCCAGACACAGGACTTAGATGAGTCAAGCTGGAACTTACCTGGAAGCCTCCTCCCTGAGGATCACTCTAATAGTGTCAGATGATGCTTATGCAAGCTGCCAACAATTACTTGACCAGAAAAACATGCTTAATGGTACAATGGAGGCACAATTATATTGGGATACCAACAGCTATCTCATTGGACTTGAGACCTGCTCAATAGGAGGAAATCCATGCCTTGTTCTGTAAACATAGTGAAGTGTCTGTGGCTGAGAAATCATGGACCCTAGAGAAGAGACTACTACTGTCATTTTCCTAAACCCATATAATTCCTAACTCTATTCTAAATACTTATTCTTATACCCAAAGTATTGCTTTCACCCCAATCTGCTACAAAAGAAGCTTCCTTTTGTAGCAGATGGTGCTTACTACAAAGATCCACAGTGGGTCAAGATGTAGAGAATAAGTGACTGTGGGTGGCTAACCTCAACTGGTATAGCTACCATGAAACCCCTATACCTAGGGTTCAGAAATACAGTGAAGGTGATGTGAAAATAAGAGCCAGAGAACTAGGACCCTTGCTACTGAATATATGTATAGACATATAAACACACACACATAGGTATGTATGAATGCACATATATTAAACTTAAGGTATATACACATGTATGTATGTGTGTGTATGTATGTATGTATGTATGTATTTAATTTTTTCTTAATGGACATGGATATTGGCAGGTGGTCCATATGCATTCATACACCCTAATTGGACTTAGTAGATTATAAATAAAACATAAAAGGACATGGAGTTGGGAGATATATCTGTTGGGGATCTCAGAGGAAGTGAGAAGGGGAATCACGTGCATACATAAGTCAAGATTAATTGTATATATGTATGAAATTATCAGAGTTTAAGATTATTTTTTAAAGTAAACAATATCATACTTAAGAATTTCATATAAACATCTGTTTATATATCTAGGCATTTGACCAGCTCTATTACCATAAGGAGCATTTAAAATGTAAATGAAATCAATATTTTGTTTCAAATTTATAGATGAGGGAAGTGATTTCCAATCTTCAATTTACTTAGGGAAAATATTCTTTGGCAATTAAAAGATAAGATGTTTGAGTTCTTATTACGGTATAACCATGTTACAGTCCTTGATGTTTAGAAGACATCATGTAGCAAATGCTTCCATTAACCTACTTGTATGTTAGGGAATTCTACAGTTCAGATATTTAATGAATGACCCGAAATGCTCCAGTAAGTTCAGAAGTAACGGTACAGCAAGACTGAGGTGGAGGGTCAACACTGAGCACACCTGATCGCTGGTCATGACTAGGATCAACCACTAGGCCGTGTGTTGCTTCAGATATGTGCGAAAGAAGGAAATTGCGAAAGCACTCTCGGTACTTTGCCTTCACATGCTACCTCAATGGTTTTCGAACAGATGCAGGATGAAACAAGTATGGGACGGGGTGTACATGACCACTTCCTATTTCTGCCATGGATGGTGAGTCAGATTTGTGAAGAAACTGCAGTGAAGCGACCAAGTGAAGTATATGTTTGGATAACTGTGGTGGTATTGTGTTCACCAAAATATTGTGTACCTTAATAAACTTACCTGGGGTCAGAGAACAGACAAGCCACTAGTTAGTCAGTGATAGCACACGCCTTTAATCCTAGCATTCCAGAGATAGAAATCCCTCTGGATCTCTGTGAGTTCAAGGCCACATTGGAAATAGCCAAGCATGGTGACACACGCCTTTAATCCCAGAAAGCCAGCCTTTAATCCCAGGGTGTGGTGGTAGAAAGTAGAAAGATATATAAGGCGTGAGGACCAGAAACTAGAGGCTTTTGGCTGGTTAAGCATTTGGCTGGTTAGGATTTTGGCCTGGTTAAGCATTCAGGCTTTTAAGCAGCAGTTCAGGTGAGAGCCATTGGGATGAGGACGCAGAAGCTTCCAGTCTGGGGAAACAGGACCAGCTGAGGAAATGGCAAGGTGAGATAGCTGTGGCTCGTTCTGTCTCTCTGATCTACCAGCATTGACCCCAATAACCCGCCTCAGGTTTGATTTTATTAATAAGAACTTTAAGATTCCTGCTACAGATAACTCCAGTTAGATTTACACAAGTTGTTTCCTTGGTCCACCAAACATTTATTCAGTAACCACCACAGCCAAATCATAATTAGCAGCACAGTAGTTATCATGGGAAATTTCTGTCTGATGGATGTAAGCCGAAGATATTGATCTTCTGAGGACTTCATTCCACATCACTGCCTTTACCATTATTAGTTAAAGTATTAAATTACATAAAAGTATCTCATTGCTTCTAGCTTACATCTTTTTTTAATTTTAGGACATTTTACTTGTTCACTTTATGCATGGTTTTGAAATCAAATCCTTTAGAATAGGTCTAGACGCCCTGCATTGCCTTGATGGTTGTGCCTTCTTCAAGCCTGTCTGCTTGGTTGTATACAATCATTTGCTCCATACTTTACTGAGACAACTATGTCTGAGACCAGTTATAGAACCCATGGGGGGCCTGACCAGTTCTGAACAGAAATAGAGGAGGGGTGGATGGGGGAGGAGGGCACAGAAGGGAGGAGGGAGGGGATCAGAGGGGAGGAGGGGGCAGAGGGGAAGAGGGGGGAGAAGGGGGAAGGAGGGAAGGAACCAGAGGGGAGGAGGGAGGGGATCATAGGGGAGGAGGGGGACAGAGGAGAGGAGGGGGAAGAAACCAGAGGGGAGGAGGGGGACAGAGGGGAGGAGGAGGGAGGGAATCAGAGGGGAGGAGGGGGACAGAGGGGAGGAGGGAGGGGAAACTGAAGTCAGAATGAAATGAAAAAATTTAATTAATAAAAAGAAAAGAAAAAATAGTAAAAAAT